AAACTCCTATTGTGCAAACACCTAGTCTTATAAGGGCCTAAGCTTCCTTGGCTCACTGTATACATAGAGGCCAACCTTCTCATTATTCATTCAATCACAACCCCTCTCTCTAGCTTACTAAGTTCTTGCTCCCAAGAACCACCATCCTTCCTCATCATAGAGCCGAATTCTAGCCACTCTACGCCAGTAATCATCGTAGAGCCGAGCTTTGGCCACTCTACACCAATAAGTCCTACCTTAGTCAACCACTCTTGGTAAACCCTTTCCTACACTCAACACCACACCAGTGTCTCCAAGTGCTTTGCATTTACTCTTCTTTGTCTTTCTAGGTCTATGAGATTGTCAATGGCCTCGTCCTCACAAGATCATCCTTATAACATTTTGGGTAGATTTTATCGTCTATAATTTGGCACCCACTGTGGGGCTCTCAAAATCATCCAGCTAACAATGACTACTTTGCATAGACAACTAGAGTTTACTAGAAACACTGAAGCCCCTTCAACCTGTCTCCACAGCTCCAGTCAACTCTGCTCTCACAGTCATAGTCAACTCCAACCTCCGTAGTTCTAGTTGACTCCACTCTCTCAACTCTAGTCAACTCAACCTTTGCAATTCTAATCAACTTCGCTCCCTCAGCTTTAGTCGACTTAACCTCCGTAGTTCTAGTTAACTCCCTTCTTAGCACTCCAACCGACTCAAGCCAAGTCTACTCAAGCTATCTATCCGGCCAACTCGCCGTCCACTCATCTAGTTGGCCCGACCTCTACTTATCCAGTCGGTTCAGCCTTCACTATTCTAGTCAGCTTTGCCCTATTCATCCAATCAGCTTGGCCCTATTCATATAGTCAGCTTTGCCTCACTCATCTAGTCGGCTCGACTACCACTCATTCAGTTAGCTTTCTCTCACTCATCTAGTCAACTCCCTTTCCACTCATCCAATCGGCTTTGCCTCCACTCATATAGTCGGTTCAACCTTCACTCATCAGTCAGCTCTGCTCTATTCATCAAATCAACTCTGTCTCACTTATCCAGTTGGCTCTGCCTCACTCATCCAGTCGACTCTACCACAATCATCTAGTCAGCTCCTCTTCCTCTCATCCAATCGACTCGAGTTTCTACTCATCCAATTGGCTTGACCTTCACTCATCTTGTTGGCTTCAACTCCACTTATCTAGTCGATTCTGCCTCCACTTATCTAGTTAGCTCTGCCTCATTCATCCAGTCAGCTTTGCCTCCACTCCTCCAGTCGATCACGTCTTCACTCTTCCAATCGATTACAGCTTCATTCCTTTGGTTGACCACACCTTCATTCTTTCAATTGACTATATCGCCACTCTTCTACTCATCTAGTCCAAGGCTCCGGTCGATCATGTTACCACTCTTCTAGTCATCTAGGCCAAGTCTCCAATCATCCCATATAGTCGGCTCAACTCAACCAGCATTGTTGGGTGGCAATCCCCTATCCTTTGCAACCACCAATTCAAGCCAACTCAATTTAGATCTCGTCACTCATGCTCATCAAACATAATATCAAGCAGGCATCCTCTCTTCACTAAGTATAAAAGGGACTAATTGATCTTCTTGCTTCTGGTCACTGACACATCTACTCGGCAAGGTTTCACACCTTACTCAACAAAGCATATTGAGCGATTGCTCTAGCTTCAGTCAACTCGGACCATGCATACTTAACTTAGCATGGAGTGGACATCCTCTTCATACAGAACATGAAAGAGACGAGATGACTTACCCTTTGAGAGGCATTGTTTCACTTGTTCAAACACCCACATTTGACTTGTCCTAGTCTAATGTTGCTCCATTACCTTCAATGGATCTCCAAAGTGCAAAACCCTCCATTCGACTTAACATCAATGGATGGTACAACTTCGACATGTCCTATTCATTCAAGAAAGAGTTTAGTTGAGTGCCACAAGCTTCAAGGCTTATAACATAACTTCCTTCATATGTCACTCGGCTCAGCACTTGCTAGTCGAATCAGTATGACAAACGAACTTCAATAACTACAAATTGCAACTTACAGAGTTCGACACATGGCCTCACATGGCCATACGACCTCACACGACCACATGGCCTCACTTGACCTCATTCGGCCTTTTTTGGTCACATGGTCTCATGTGGCCTCATTTGGCCTCGTTAAGCCTCACTCAACCACATGGCCTCATTTAGCCTCATTCAGCCACATAACCTTACTCAGCCTCAATCGGCCACACGACCTCACTCGGAATTACTCGGCCTCACAGCTTTACTCGACCACACGGCTTTACTTGACCACACGGCCTCACCTGGCTTCACCGACCTCATTTGGCCAAATGCCCTCACACGACCTCATTTGGCTTCACTCGACCTCATTTGACCTCACTTAGCCTTATTTGGCCTTATTAGGTTTCACTTGACCTCATTCGGCCTCACTCGGCTAATGTGTATTCACAATCGACAATAAAACACCAACATATGAGAATGCTTTGCACATCACTCCACTCAGCACATGCCATTCGCCCTCACAAAATGAATGATCTCCAACACCAGCTGCATCCCATTCAGCCAACACTCTCCACTTGGTGGAATGAGTTGAGTGGAACCTAGTGGTGTTATTTACGTTTCTCCTTACACAAGTTTGCTCAAAGGAACAAATTCTTTAGCTCCACTAGACTCGGTTAAACACATACTTGGACGGACCGAGTCACATCAATTCATCTGCTAGAAATTGGCTAGAAATACTCTCTAAAGTTAAGTACCCCTTAACTTAAAGAGCGGGGACAAACTGTTTGGGCAAAAAATCGCATTGGACTTCTTATAAGCTCAGTAGTACTTGACTCCTTCTTGAAGACCATCAATAGACGATCTCGTGCCTCGAACCAACTTTGGTTGGGCTCATGCCAAAAGCCTAATTGGGGTTGGCATCATGACAAAGCCCATCTCGTGAAATGGCTCCACTCTAGAGCCCAAACGGCGACCTCGTGCCAAGGCCCAACTCTAGTTGGCCCTATGCTAAGCGCACTCCACAAATTGGGTGGCCCAAACAATCTGGACCACACTATCCTTCAAGCCCATCTAAGAGTCAAGCCCAATGGTCATTCATGACTTCGAGTCTAATTAGGAGTCTAGCTCCTCAAGAGTCTAGATCCATGAAGACTCCTCACTCCTCAAGACTCAAGTCTCATGCAGATGCTTCACCATGTAAGACTCATAGTCCTACAAGAGATCCTACTCCATAGGACTCTAAGTGTCATAGATATCCTAGTTCATCCAAGATTCCTAGTCTTACATGAACTAATACTCGTACTCCTACATGGATTAACACTACATGTTTTTTGTTTACTCAAACTCCTATTGCGAGAACACTTAATTCTATAAGGACTTAAGCTTTCTTGGCTCACTATATGAACAGAGGCTAGGCCTCTCATTATTCATTCAATCACAAACCCTCTCTTTTGCTTACTAAGTTTTTGCTCCCAAGAACCACCACTTTTCCCCCACCGTAAAGTCTAGTTCTAACCACTCTACGTTGATAATCACCGTAGAGCTGCCCTAGCTAACCACTCCTGGTAAAACCTTTCCCGCTCTTAGCCTTATTAAATTCCTAACAATAGTGCTCACTTAAACGTCAGAGTGCCTACAATTGACACTACATTGATGTCCCCAAGTGCTTCGTGTTCACTCTTTTTTTGTCTTTGTAGGTTTACGAGATTGTCAGTGGCCTCGTCCTCACAAGATCATCCTTACGACATTCCGGGTAGATTTTACCATCTACACTACCAAACCTGTTATTATTGATCTAGTATAAGTTAGGAAGACATTAAGTTTGATTCTATAGAAATGATGTAGTAATCTTATTCATCAATTGACTGTAGTGTTGGTTAGATTTATTGTTTTTATCCAGGGGCTGAGCTACATTTAGGATTTGGTCACCCCAAGCCCCACAAAAATCTTTAAATTTTGTATAAAAATAAAAATTTAACCCCTATAAATATAGTTTTTCTCATTTTTGCCACCCCTAGTTTTTTAAGGTAACACTTTAGCTCCAGTAGATGTAACTTTTCTTATTACTTATGGCCCTGTTATTCATTGAAGATAGCATTTTGGCCCTCCAGGAAATATTTTTTGGCTCCACCCCTGTTTGTATCAGTAGTCAGTTGTTCTTTGCTATATTACATCAACGTAACAATTCATGAACATAAAACTTCTAAACTCATAACTTGAAACTTATAAATCAAGAATGCAAAACTTGTAATGCATAGACACGTACGTTTCATGTTGTATTATATCTATAGCTTGGGTTCTTTTGTTGCCACACCCAATGGCAGACTGCTGATACGCGTGGGATGGCCATTGCCACTCCAGACTTTAGATTATTTTCTTGAGATTTCATGTAAAAAAAGTTTCAATTTTATCCTATAAAAGTTACTCTTTTAACTTTGCCCCATGTTTCTTAAACTTACATTTTTTTCCCCTTAAATGTAATTTCCTAAATAATTTTAGTTTTTACTTTGGTTTGCCTCTTTATTAAACATTAATTTTGGCCCCTCAAACATAATTTCAGGGTTCTGTCATTGGCCACACCAGAAATGGTCTGAGATTTGATCATTAAAGTCAAAGGTTGCTAAAATTCTATGCATCTCTATTCCTCTCTCAGCTATATTTTAACTTCTTAAATGGAAAAATTATAATATCTATGCATATTAACAATACAAAAGTCAAAATAATGTTTATATTTTACTAACGTGTGACAGCTCTACTCTATCATGTATGCATTGTTTTTATATATATAAATGTTTACATGGCTGCACGTTTTATCACTCTACTAAAATAAGGAACTTCATTGTGAAATCGTGGTGCTCACCAATCAACTTGCAGTTCCAGTTCACTCAAGGTTTCCATTTTTTATTCACGTTCTTTTAGCATGCCTAGATATATAAAGGAAACCAATACTTGCTTTCATATATAGATCGAATTTGTATATCCCAAAACTAAAGAATATGAAGATGTCAACAGTAGCTGCATTTGCTCTAGCCCTTGGCCTCATTTTTGTCAACCTTACAGGGCATTGCGATGGCGCACTTCAGGTCGGGTTTTATAGAGGAAAGTGTGGATTGTTAGATGTTGAGTCTATTGTTAGAGCCGTTGTTACCGTAAAGTTTTTGAAAGACAGAACTATTGCACCAGCTCTCATTCGGATGCAATTTCATGACTGCTTTGTCAATGTAAGTTATCTTAATTTTTTAGCTACCAAACATGTCATTATATGATATGAATAAGCTAATTTGAATCGTACTTTATGGTGAAAAAGGGATGCGATGCATCGATTCTCCTGGATGGAAACTCCACTGAGAAAACTGCAGGTCCGAATTTAAGTGTAAGGGGTTACGAAGTTATTGATGCAGTAAAGGATGCTGTCGAGAAATTTTGCCCTGGGGTCGTCTCTTGTGCTGATATCATTGCCATAGCAACCAGGGATGTTGTTTACTTGGTAAGAATAAAAAATAAATAAATAAAATCCTGATATTCTTATATATATGTAGTATAAATAAATTCTCTTAAAAGATTATCAGAAAAAGACTGACAGAAATGTTGTAGCTACTTTTTCCAAAACTCATATGCTTTTGTACATGCAGAGTGGAGGAGGGAAATACAGTGTGGAAACAGGAAGNCTGGATTTCTTGAATTATGTTGAAATAATGTTATTTACAAAAGACTAACATATATTATTAGGAGATAGCTTTGACTCATATCCAACAGAATCATTTAGAAATATATTAACAGAAAGTTCTCTTTCTCATTTGAAAAATACGTATGCTAAACCAGGAAATGATGCTGCGCAAGCAGCAGCAGTGATCCGCAACTTGAGGTTATCTCTCAGTAACATGCCCATCACCGCAACAAATCCATAAACGGTCGCAATATAGCCTATTCCTGTAGTGATTTGTGCTGCAATTCGAGGCTTGCGGCCGCATACTACGATACCAAGTAGGCAACAAACAAACCCGATAATGTTACAAGCTGCAGCATAACGCACGAGGATTTTAGCATTTTGGGACAAAGCGTTGTTGTTGCTCCCACCGGACCCAACTGTCAGTAATGTTAGAGCTGCTTGGGTAGTTATCACCAGAAATGTCTCTATCAGTCTAGGACGATTGAGCAGTGGTTCTCTACTTTCAATTGAAAACGAGTCCCTTTGGCTCTCAGAAAATGGTGGCGTTATGTTCAGCACTGTATCTGCAGGCGATGCTAGGGTTGAAATGGAAGAGTTTTGATCTAAAACTTGAGTATGACTGTGATCATGAAAGGATGTCTCACAAGGGGAAGCATGAGATGGCTGAGAGCTCTTGCCACAAAACTGGCAACTTGTAGCAGTTATTAATTCATCATTAGCTGCCATCGACCATTGCTTGGCAATGGCTTGAGAAAATAACGAAGCAATAGTATGTTCCTGAAAGTGCTGAGATAAGATAGCCATGTGAATGAGCTCATCTAAGGAATGAGTTCCTAGGACCATATTTTCGATGACTGGTTGCATGGAATGTCTTCGTTTGTGGCATAACTCCTGAATCAAAGGCAGTGGTTGTTCAGAAGCTGCAAAAGTTGGCCTTTTCTCTGCCTGATTACAAAAGCAACCAGAGGTTACATGTACAGAACCTGAATGATTAGAAGCCCCTCCAGGTTGAAACAATTTCCACAACTCACATGGGCATTTTTCAATATTCTCTAACATACTACGTGTCAGCAACACAGGGAACCGCCGTTTCATTTCACAGATTGAAAGAGCAAGCTCAAGCCCCAAAGGATCAAACAAGAGTGGATTTCTAAGACAGGATTGAACCTGAAAATTGTCAAACCATGCCAATTAAATGACAGCTATCTGGAATATAAGATATTGCAATAAAAAAGGAGCTTGATTAGGCAAATAAATATACCTGTTGATTAGGAGAAGCTTGTAGCGTTGATGATGAAGAGGAAGCCATTCTAGAAGAAGGAAAGAAAGGCTTAACTAATCAATGTTGTGGATTAAGATACACCTTACTATATATATAGTACGAAAGAATTTTTGAAGGCTCAATCAATGCCACTGGTTAAAAGCACTTACAAAAGGAAATAACAAATGAATCAAAATAATAATTCTTCTCTGTGGGAATTTCCTGGAATTTCCTGAGCTTCAAAGCGTGTGGTGAGAAGATGACTTCTCTTGCAACATGTCTTATATAGTCTAGCGAGTCAGCGAGCAAGTCTCCGAGGGAAAATTGTGGCCGGTTTCTTGTCTAAGTTTCCTGCAATTCATGTATATGATTGATATTGAATTTATTTATTAACACCGTTGAAAGTATTGTGAAGCCAAAAACGGAGCCGTTTCACTTAAGTATATTCAAGCCAAAACGGGGTCGTTTTGTTTAAGACCATTACCGAATTTCAGCCGTCAGATCAAGACAGATCCAAGGGCTGAGAATTACGAACGCAGACATATATAAAGAAGAGCAACAGTGATAAGGGCATACGAATTGTTCATTGTCAATCGGGGTATTAGGGTTTGAGAGAGGGAAATACTGGGGTTTGGTTTTCTCTGCTGAATCTTTTTGGGTTAATCTGGTTAGTTGAGAGAGGGTTGCGTTTCCTTCCAAAGGCTTGTATTTGTCCTCTGTTTTCTTGCAGATTATTGAAAGATTAGTGAGTGATTAGGCCTTGGTTGGGTGTTAGTCTGTTTCGGCAGATTTGTAGTCATATCCTTCTTGTAATCGTTGAATATTTTCTTAGTGCTGTGAGTGTCCGTATTTCGGAGCTCAACGTGGATGTAGTCTATTCAAGATTGAATAGACGAACCACGGTAAAAATCATGCCTTGTGTTGTGTGTGTGATTCATTGATCTTTAATCTTGTTTGTGTGATTATTTCTTTTGTGAATTGCTTGTTAGGCTTAGGTTATAACAGTGGTATCAGAGCTAGAAAGTTCTAAGGGGATTTAGGGTTAGAAATCGTTTGGTCTTTTGTACAAATTCTAAAATTAGGGTTTGTTAGATTTGGGGGTTTTTTCGATTTCAAGATCCTAGATCGTTAGGACTTCAGATCTTGCTAAGTCTTGGGGTTAAATTCGTGAGATTGAGTTACAGACACAAGGAATCGATGAAGTTCGTAGAAATTCTAAAATTAGGGTTTGTCAGATTTGGGGGTTTTCGAATTAAAGGCTTATAGGGCCTTAGGGTTTTCGAATTGACCTTGAATCAGGTCGAATTGGTTAGTCTGGGTCACAAACACGAGTCAAGGGAAAAAGGTCTAGGTCTTGTCTAAGGGTATTTAGGCTGGAACACCAGTGACTGCCTTAAAAACTGCTTGGCAGTAATTGGCGAATTCTGGTATAACAACGCCACGTACCCTTTGACGATTTTGGCTGTGTTAGTCTTGTCACTTTAGTCTTGTTTGTGTCTTGCCTTGTGTGATACAGTTTAAGGGTGTTTAGGCTGGAACACTAGTGACTGCCTTAAAAACTGCCTGACAGTAATTGGCGAATTCTGGTATAACAACACCATGTACCCTTTGACTGTTCTGTCCTATTACTACAATACAATGAGTACTACTCGTATGGAGATCTCCCAATATGATGGGAAGATCGACTTTAATACATGGAAAAAGAAGATGAAAGCCCTTCTTTCGCATAATAAAGTTGGGCTTGCCTTAGAAAAAGATGCCACTAAGTGGTCTGAAGAGAAACTGAAAAAAAAGGCTGAAGTGGATGAGGAGGCCTACAATCAGATCATAATGAATCTGTCCGATGCAGTCCTGCGAAAGGTTGATGGCATGGAAACACCGCTCACACTCTGGGGTAAACTCGAATCCCTTTATTCCTTACAGTCTGCACCAAACTTAGCATTTCTTAAAGGAGCCTTATTTTCTTATAAGATGGATGTTACTAAGTCTGTAGAAGAAAACCTTGATAAGTTTCTTAAGATGACATTAGTATTGAAAGGTACAGATCAGGAGTTGGGAGACTCCAGTCTGGCAATGATATTGTTAAATTCACTGCCTGATGAGTACTTGGTGGTGAAGAATGCTTTACAATACACTGGGACAGTTCCCAGTGTTGACCTGATTATAGCAGGTCTTAAATCTAGGGAATTGGAGTTGAAAATACAGAAAAGGAATGGAAATAACCTGTTTGTCAAAGGTAGATCAGATCCAGGACAATCAGGAAGGGATAGCAATAGGAATTTCCAACAACACATAAACCCTAGGGCTAAGAAAAAGGGGAAGAATAACAAGTCTAAGGGAGAAACTAGGAAGTGTTTTCACTGTAATAAACCTGGCCACCTTAAGAAGAACTGCTATGATTGGATAAAGAAACAAAAACAGCACAATACAGAGAGTAACTTAGCTAGCACTAGCACTGGCATTGAAGTTTCAGAAGCCCTCACTATCTCAAACCATGCTAGTAGTAAGGAATGGGTCCTAGATTCAGGGTGCACTTTTCATATGAGTCCCAACATCCAATGGTTCCAGAACTTTAGGAAGGGAGAGTTAGAAACTGTCTTCATGGGCAATAATCACTCTTGTAAGGTTCAAGGCATAGGAAACATAACCATTAGGTTGAATAATGGCAAAATCATAATGTTAACCAGAGTGAGGTATATACCTGACCTCAAAAGAAACCTGGTCTCCTTGGGAACTTTGGATGAAGCTGGATGTAGTTATAAGGCAGAAAAGGGATCCATAGTGGTGTACAAGAATAATGAAATACTACTTGAAGGGGTCAAACAAAATGGGCTGTACATTCTGTGTGGTCAACATTGTGCACTCACTGTAAAGTCTGCATTATCATCTACAAATCTGACTGCTGCAGAGAAATGGCATTTGAGACTTGGCCACATAGGCCAAAAAGGTATGACAGTGTTAAGCCAACATGGGTACTTTGGTAAGGAATCAATATCTGATTTAACTTTCTGTGAAGTTTGTGTGTTGGGAAAACAGCACAGAATGAGTTTCCAAAAGGGGACTCATCTGGCTGAAAAAGGGTTAGACTATGTTCATGCAGACCTGTGGGGTCCTGAAAGGGTTAGAACACATGGAGGGAATTGTTATTTCCTCTCCATTGTGGATGACTATAGCAGAAAGGTATGGGTGTACCTACTTAGGTCTAAAGATGAAGCCTTAACCAAGTTTAAAGGCTGGAAAAACTTGGTTGAAAACCAAGTTAACAGGAAGGTAAAAACCTTTAGGACTGATAATGGCCTAGAATTCTGTAATCAGGAGTTTGACTCTTATTGTGTAGAAGAGGGAATCTTGAGGCATAGGACTGTTAGGGGAACCCCTCAGCAAAATGGAGTTGCTGAGAGAATGAACAGAACCCTTCTTGAAAGGGTTAGATGTCTCTTATTCACAGCTGGTCTACCAAAAACTTTTTGGGGGGAAGCATTAGGCACAGCAGCTTACCTTATAAATAGGAGCCCTTCTAGCTCAATAGACTTTAAGTGCCCTGAAGAGAAGTGGTCTGAAAGGAGACCATCTCTTGAACACCTAAGAGTCTTTGGATGTGCAGCATATGCCCATACCAGAGATGGAAAGTTAGAACCAAGATCCCTCAAGTGTGTTTTTTTAGGATATCAAGAGGGAACAAAGGGTTATAGGCTGTGGGAAAGGGCTGCCCCAGGGGTTAGGGTAATTGTTAGTAGGGATGTGATTTTCAATGAAACAGTTTTCCCTTGTAAATCTAGTACTAA